CACCAGTGGTGATCGTCACCACATGTAAAATATTTTTTGAATTTTCAAAAATTTTTGACTGAGATATTATTCTAATTATAATATAAATATCATTACTATATGTAAATTTATAGGTAGAACTATACATGCTGCCCAAATTATTTTGGGATGTCATAATTATAATTTGGGATGCCATAATTCATTCAGTTTATATATAATTTACTATGTAAAGTGCCAAAATAATTTGGGATGCCATAATTGAATTTGGGATTTTACTTATAATTACGGCAGCCCAAAATAATTTGGGTGGCATGTATAGGTAGAACAAGTTTGCCTTAGATTATAAAGGCTGTTGTTTAGATAGTTTTTGAGAAAAATAGGAAAGTTTGATTTTATAAGTAAAATACAATTTTTTGTTTTAAAAAAGATTTTTTTAGTCAAATTTTCAAAATTTTAGTGTGATTAGTATCTACTTAGGTTTGTTTTACACATTTATTATTTAAATTGAAATTTTTGAAAAAAAATTTACGATGTGTTTTTTAACTCTGGCCAAAATTATAATTTTCGGCCAGAATTAAGTGGTATGGTGACGATCACCACTGGTGATATTTAGCAATACCCTAAAAATTTTGGTAAAAAATATGCAATTTTGATGACCTAACTATAGATGAAAAATTCTAAAATTGTACGCAAATCAAAACTTTACTCCGTCTAATTTCACTATGATGGTGACGTACTGTGTACCCTACCCCTGTATATATATTTCTGGGTCCTGGATCAATCAGATAGTTTTACGGATAATTAAGAATTGTATTGTAGTTTTCAAGTTATATGAAAAGAGTATTATTCCTAGTAGTATAATTCAAGATAGTTAATTTCGCAATCAAAAGATTATCTATATTTTTTGTCATATTTAAAATCTTACATTATTTTAATAAAACCCTATTTTCTTTAATTGAACATTCAATATTATTTTACATGATTATTTGTGATCGATTTAAGACTCTTCTATTAAGTTAAACTCTAATTAACCTATTAAAGTGTTAAAGTTTTTCAGTCAGCTTTAATTGTTGACAGGATAACAATATATATGACATTTTGAATTGGTTACATTTTTTGATCTTAGAAAAAAATGCATAAAATTTAATAATTTATATATCTAAAATCTCAAATAAACATCATATACCTAAAATAAATATTCATATATTTAATAATATATACATAAAAAGTTTAAAAATCTTCATTATACTAGGATTCCGCCTACACTCCACCTACTATTAAGATAGATCACCCTATGGTTTAAGGTAAAGTTTACATATAAAACTCTTTAAAGATCCTACTATAAAAGGAAATTTTATGTTATTGTTATGATTTTTTTCCTTTTTAGTCAATTAACCAATAGAATTTAAGCAAATTTTAAGGTAAGATTTTATATGAAAGTGAAATTTCTACTAGTAACATAGGTGCTTTGCAGTAGAAAGGGATGAAACTACTGAAAAAATTCAAATTTTCTTTTATATGCCAAAAATATTCTAAATGCTATAATTTATTTAGATTTTATATTAACTCATTTTTTATTTTTTTTAGTAGTTTCATCTCTTTCTACTGCAAAGCGCCCACATATCTTAGTAGTAAGCAGGGTTCTATTATACTATAATTTATTTCAAGAAGTATTGTTTCTATTTAAAGTTGCTTTAACTTTACCCAAATTATCTATTAAATGAATATTATACATTATTTTTAATTTAATTTCTTAAATATTCAAATATTATAAAATAATTCATACCTCAAAAACTCATAAATTTCTGAATCAGTAGCTGGTTAAAAATACTCAAAATAATTATCTTTAAGCTTTAAGTATTTTGTTTGTTTTTCTAAAAATTTTTGTGTTTTATCAATATTTATTTTCAATTTACTTTTAAGTAGTGCTCTACACGAGCCAAGCTGGCTCATGAGCTGGCTCAAGCTTTTCAAGCTAAGCCAAGCCAAGCCATGATTAAATTGGCTTGGTGGCTCACGAGCCAGCTTGGAAGAGCTCGAGCCAGTTATTAGGCTCAGCTCAAAAAGCTCGAGCCTGTAACAGACTTGGCTCAAAAAGCTCGAGCTGGCTCATGAGCCAAACGAGCTATTATACAAAAAATGTTGCGAAACGTTTTTATATAATAATGCATGCATAAACGAAACGTTTTCACAACTTTTTTTCATTGTTTATTAAAGAACGTTGCGAAAACATTTATTTAAGTTTTTACATGTAAAATTGAAAAAAAAAATGCCGGAACTAATGATTCCGACGTTTTTACATGTAAAATTGAAAAAAAACGCCGGAACTAATGATTCCGGTATTTTTACATGTAAAATTGAAAAAAAAATGCCGGAACTAATAGTTTCAGCGTTTTTACATGTAAAATCAAAAAGAAACCGCCGGAACTAATGATTCCGGCGTTTTTACATGTAAAATTGAAAAAAAATACCGGAACTAATAATTCCGGCGTTTTTACATGTAAAATCAAAAAAAAACGCTGAAACTATCAGTTTCAGCGTTTTTACATGTAAAATCAAAAAGAAAAATGCCGGAACTAATGATTCCGGCATTTTTACATGTAAAATTGAAAAAAAAATGCTAGAACTAATAGTTTCGGCGTTTTTATATGTAAAATCAAAAGGAAACCGCCGGAACTAATAATTCCAGCATTTTTACATGTAAAATCGAAAAAAAAATGCCGGAACTAATAATTCCGGCATTTTTACATATAAAATCGAAAAAAAACGCTGAAACTATCAGTTTCAGCGTTTTTACATGTAAAACCAAAAGGAAATACGCCAGAACCAATTATTCTGGCGCTTTTACATGTAAAATAAAAAAAAAATGCCGAAACTATCAGTTTTGGCATTTTTACATGTAAAATCAAAAAAAAAACGCCGAAACTATCAGTTTCAGCATTTTTACATGTAAAACCAAAAGGAAATACGCCAGAACTAATTATTTCGGCACTTTTACATGTAAAATCGATAAAAAAATGCCGAAACTATCAGTTTCGGCGTTTTTACATGTAAAATCAAAAGGAAAAATGCCGAAATAAATAGTTTCGGTATTTTATATAAATATAAAAGTAAAAAACGTTTCGCAACGTTTTTTTTAATAATTTAAAGTAAAAACGTTGCGAAAACGTTTTTATGATAAAGCTCGAGCCACCTTGAGCCAGCTCGAGCCCAGCTTGGCTCAAGCCAGGATTTTCATGGCTCAGCTTGGCTCGAACTGAGCTGAGCCAAGATTTTTTGTAGCTCGGCTCATTTCAGGCTTGGCTTGGCGCAGATCTTCAAGCCGAGCCAAGCCAGACTGTAGCTCGGCTCGAGCCGGCTCATGTAGAGCACTACTTTTAAGTATTAAATTTTGTGATGCTTCCTTTTAAATTTCTTCAAGTATATTTAAAGATTTAAAAATACTTTCTAATTTATTATTCATTTCATCACATTACAATAAAACCCACCTACTATTAAGATAGATCACCCTGTGGCCTAAGGTAAAGTTTATATATAAAACTCTTTAAAGATCTTACTATAAAAAGAAATTTTATGTTACATTATTATGATATTTTCCTTTTTAGTTAATTAACTAATAGAATTTAAGCAAATTCCAAGGTAAAGTTTCATATGAAAGTAAAATTTCTACCAGTAATAGATCTTAATTCCTGCTACAATACCACATCTTATAAACCCAAATTTAATACTAATATAATTCATTCTGCTGAATTCATCTAGCTGTATAAGATGCTGTTCTTAAAGCTGCAAAAAAATCAAAATTACCATGCAAAAAAAGACAAATCAATGCTAGCCAATTGAACAGGTTCAAATGTATTTCAATGATCAGCTCTACTATTTATATAGATACAGGCAATTTCTGGTAGTTCTTCTGAATAATAATTCTCATTATAGAAAGCTATTTAGTAGTATATCTGATAGCAGAACTCAATTGAAAAATTGAATCTAGCTCTTAATATAACAAACTTATGATATAACGAAACATATGATATTTAACCAATCAAATATAACATTATAATGAAAAAACTAATTAAATTCTTTAAAATTCTTCACTATAACCTTATAATGAATTGAGGTGAAAACTGAAGGGTTCATTATATTAAGAGCCAACTGTAAAAACTTTCTGAGATATATTTAAGTACATTATAAATTAATGATACCAAATGGTATAACAGAACACTTGGAAAATTATGATCACAGGCTGATAGATTGTTATCCATAGAACTTTCTTTAATTTATATTTGGATTCCTGTTTCTGGTGTAGACAAGGGCAGTAATGGCAAGTAAACTAAATAACATCAAATAACCTAGGTTATTAGTCATGTGTTATTTGGGTCATTTCGAGGTTAAATGACAAATGACCCTAGTCATTTGAAAATTAAATCATGTGACCGAATAATTTTAGCCAAAATTATTTACACAATTTCAATTTTTAGGTGAATATATCACGTAATTTTATATTCCGGCTGGCATCATAGGTTTGGCTTAAATTATACTAAATGACTCAAATGACAAATGACATCAAATGACTAGGACATTCAAAGGTCATTCGGAAGTCATTTGTCATTTGGTCAAATGACCTGGTCATTTGCCATTACTGGACGAGTGGACGAGGGCCCCTGAATAGAAGTTCGTCGTGATAATTGATGTGATACCACTAAGTTAATTAGTACAAAAACTTTAAGGTTACACTTATGTTCAATAGTACTAAAAATTCAATCCAAGATAAATAGTGTGATATAATCGTCTATATTGAATTTTTTGTATGTAATGATATAGAATAGTATATCCGATATAAAATAAATATAAAATTTTTTTTAAACGGTACATTATAAATAAATTTTTCGGAAATAATAAAATTGTTACACAAATATACATAATTTTTTAACAAATAAAAAATCTTGCACATGATTGTGCCAATTCTGCCGATTTCGCTAACTATTTTTGCAACTATTTTGCTGGACACTCTGTAAACATAAAGTGCTGAATTTTTCTTATTTTACTTTTTCATTTTTGATATGTTTATAAAAATTTGTATTCGCTAACTATTACTGTTAAATAAAAATAAAAATAAAAATAAAAACATAAAGTGCTGAAAGGAGCAGGGATGGCATTAAATGCATCATCAATAGCATTGGATACTGCGACTAATGTAATAGTACCAGTACCATTCTCAAAATTTATTCCATTGGTATCAGAAGTAGCTAATATATTAGATCAAATAGTGGAATTATATCAGTCAGCAGAACATAATAAAAGGATCTGCGGTTCTTTAATTGATAGAATATCAGCAACAGTAGCAGCAGTACGTAATTTAAAAATTCGTAGAGATCAAAATAAAAGTTTTTTTAATCAAAAAAATTTGATATTATTACAAAGATTGGTAAATAACATACAACATATTAAGAAATTTGTTGAAGAAGTAAGTCAATTAAAAGGATTATTAAAATATGTTCGAACAAAAAGCATAGAAAAAAATTTTAAAGAATTGTGCAGAGATTTTGATAGTAATGTAGCGACTTTAAATTTTTCTATTACTGTTGACTCACGTATTCGAGCTGAAAATGATAAAAAGGCTTTAAGACAGGATATGGATGATCTAGGAAAATATCTTGATGAAATTGGAGGAGGCATAACTGATATTAATAAACATGTTGCGGGTGCAGTCACTCAATTGAATGTAATAAATAGTACCATGGAACAATTAGTCGCAAATAATAATACAAAAAGTCAAGATAAAATTGATAATGTATTTCATGAAGAACGACTTAAAATAAATGAATATGAAGAAACGGATGTAGCTCGTGGAAGTAGGGTCAGAAAGTGGATCGATAAAAAGTACAGTAAAGAAGTAGCATTTAAATGTGTTGCGGATGAAAAAGATACTGAAGAATATAAGAATAGTGTTAAAAATCAAGTTACCATATTGAAAAAATTAAAAGATTGTGATAGTATTTTGAAATTTTATGGATTAACTTGTGATGGAGAAAAGTGGTATTTAGTAACTGAATGGGCGGAACTTGGTAATTTAAGAGAATATTATAGTACGTATGATTTTGATGTTAAAACGAAACTGAGGTTTGCTATTGAAATTGCAAGAGGTTTGAATTTCTTAAGAGCTATTGAAGTAAGTGAATTAATTTTTTAATATTATTTCATTGAATACATTATCAATATATCATTTGTTTATTTAGATTGTTCATAGAGACGTAAGAGCGGAAAATATTTTAATCACTGCTAGTGAAACTGCGAAGATTGCAAATTTTAAATCGAGCAGATTAATTGCGCAGGAAACGAGAAAACAAAGTGCGATATTAGAAACTGTTCGTTACTTGGCCCCTGAAATGTTAGGTCAAAGAACAGTAAAATATACTACTAGATGTGAAGTTTATAGTTTTGGTATTTTAATTTGGGAGATTGCCGAACAAAAAACTCCGTATGAAAAATATAATGATATTTTAAAAATTACTGACCTTGTTGTTAAACAAAAGTATCGGGAACCATTTTCTCTTGGTACCGGTTTACCAAAAAAATATCAAGAAATTGCAAAAGAAGGTTTTTATTTAAAATTTGTTATTGTATATATTTGTTATGCTTTGAAATAAAAAGATTTAATATTTCTTCTAATTAAATCTCTTTTATTTTAGCTGTTGAGCATGATCCAAATTATAGACCTAAATTAGCAACGATTTTTACAACGCTTAAAGAACTTTATATAAATTATGGAATGCCACCAGCTTCACCTCGTTCTTCGTATCATGGTAAAAATATATATCAAAATCATCCACCTGATAGTATCGACAGTAAGTTTTAATTCGATTTTATAGTAACTCTTTCTATTTTACTAAGAATATATATTAAACAATTAAAATATTTTTTAGTTCCATCTAATGATGATGATAACAATAAACACTATCTTTTTGATAATATTAACGATACAGGTATATTTGGAAAAAATATAATGTAAACAATGAGTTAAACGAAAAACTGACGAATATAATTAAATATAGATAATCTTAAAACGGAAAAAAATGAATATGCAGAGTGGTTAGAGCAATCGATTTCCAAAGAGCTCATTGCATATTATGAATATTCAGAATTTAAAATAATAAATAAGATAGGAAAAGGTTCATTTGGAAGCGTCTGTCGCGCTTATTGGAAAAATACTAATCAAGTTTTTGCCTTAAAAAGTTTCAATGGTGATAAGACAACCCTGAAAGAAGTTGTTAATGAGGTATTAATTGAATTTATAATATTTAAGAAATTTTTTAGTTTTTATTAATTAAATTTTTTTACAGATAAGATTACAAAAAAAAGTGGATTTTCATGAAAATATTTTACAATTCTATGGGATCACAAGAGCAAAAGCCGGTATGTCTGCGTATAATATATTTTTAAAAGAAATTTAATAATAATTTTTTCAATGTATAGATAAAATTCAAAAATACGCGTTGGTTTTGGAATATGCTGATAGTGATACACTGAAGACTTATTTACAACATCATTTTAGTGACCTTGAATGGGGTGATAAATATCAGTTAGCATTCCAACTAGCAAGTGCAGTAGCGTACATACATGAATATAATATTATTCATTGTGATTTGGTAATAATTTAAAATTTTTTGATTTTCTTTGTTGATTTTAGCTAATTATTATTAAACTCATTTTATTTAATTAAAATAGCACTCTGACAATGTATTTGTACACCAGAAAAAGATAAAGATAGCAGATTTTGGTTTATCAAGAAAGATTGCTGCATCAAGTAGTGATAATTCAAAAACGTTTGGATCGATACCTTATATCGATCCAAAAAGATTGAATGATCAAAAAAATTATAAATTAAATAAAAAGTCTGATGTATATAGTGTTGGTGTTCTAATGTGGCAAATTTCAAGTGGATATCAACCATTTGCTAGTGATGATTATGACGCAAGTTTAGTTTTATCGATAATAATAAATGGAAGAAGAGAAGAGATTATTGATGGAACTCCTGATGAATATAGTAAATTATATACTGGTAATAAATAATTTTATTATTTAAATTATTGTTTTATTTGACGTTAAAATTAAATTTTATTTGTTCATTTAATTAGAATGTTGGAAATATGAACCAAATGAACGTCCAGATATGCAAGATGTTGTTTCAACTCTTAAAGCTATTATTTTTCCCAAACAAAATAATGCAAGCTTTGATGATGTTAATGAAAAAGGAAATGTTTTATTAGGAAAATCTAAATCAATTCTAAAGTCAAGTAAAAGAATCACAAATGTAAATAAGAGTTTATCAATACCTAATATATTAAACTATATCCAGTCTGAGAGCAATTCAAGTTCGGGTACAGTAATTTAATTTTATTCTATTATTCTATTATTTTATAATTTAATTTTACTAATTTTTTATTTTATTATTAATAAAAGGAAAAAATTTAACTATTCGAAGTAGAAATATTGTTCAGTATGAATCAGGCAAATGTTATCAAAATGGATTAGAAATTGGAAAAAATGAAATATTTAAATTGTATAATAAAGCAGCAGAAAATGGGGATAGTTTTGCACAATATAATTTAGGTTTATATTATCAAGAAATTGAAAAAGATGAAATTAAAGCATTTGAATGGGTTGAAAAATCTGCTAAACAAGGACAAAGTGATGCACAAAATTATTTAGGATATTTTTTTGAAAATGGCATAGGAGTGCAAAAAGACTTGAAAGAAGCCTGTAATTGGTATGAAAAATCAGCAAAAAATGGAAATAAATTTGCACAATATAATCTTATTTCATATTATTCAAATGAACATGAAAAATTAGTTGAACAAGAAAATGAATATCAATTAGGATATTTTTATGAAATTCAAGAAGATTCAGAAAAATCTTTTTATTGGTATCAAAAATCAGCAGAAAATGGTAACAAATTTGCACAATATAATTTAGGTTTGTATTATCAAAGTGGATGGGGAATTGAAAAAAATGAAATCGAGGCATTTAAATGGTATGAAAAATCAGCTAAACAAGATAATAGTGATGCACAAAATTATTTAGGTTTTCTTTACAAAAATGGTATAATTAAACAAGAAGATTTGGAAAAATCATTTTATTGGTATCAAAAATCAGCAAAAAATGGTAATAAGATTGCACAGTATAATTTAGGTAATTTTTATCAATATGGGTGGGGAATTGAAAAAAATGAAATTGAAGCACAAAAATGGTATAAAGAATTAGCTGGACAACACCACAAATTTTTTATTGAAAATAAGGAACTCTTAGAAAATATTACCAATGAAAATCCTTTTAATCATATTCAGTTTGATGAGCCCATTTTTAATACAAATGATACAAATAATTCAGAGTTTATTACAGTAAAAACAACCATTTTTCCTGGAATTTCTGAAGCTTCATATATTGAAGTAAAAAAGTTGCAAAAATTACTTATCAGCCGAAAAGATGATATTGATCATATATTAGAATTGCAACCTGTATATACCATAGGAATTGATTTTCAAAAAAATTCTACCAGACCATGTATTGCATGTTGGGTTGCCAAGTCACTTGATACTACAGTTTTGGAATGTCTTGAAACTATATTTGAATATCAATTTGAAGTTATATACAAAATAGCAACACCTTTAAGTATAAATGAAAATAATAAACAGAATTTAAACAGCAGCAATTATTTTGCTAAAGAATTTGATAATGATAATTTAACTAGTTACTATAATGAAGAAAGCTTAGAAGAAAATAGTAATAATAGCAAACATGGTAATGGTAATGGTAGTGGTAGTGGTAGCAGTAATGATAATAATGGTAACAATGATAGTAACAATAATAATAACAGTAATAATGATAATGGTAGTAATAATGCTAATAATCATAATGATAGTAGCAGTAGTAATAATAATAGTAATGATGGTAATGGTGGCGGCGGTGGTGGTGGTTATAATAATAGGAATAAACAAGTTAAGGAAATCTACATTTTCTCTGATGCAAATGCTAGGGTTAATGATTCATCTGATTCATCAACGCAAGATTTTAATATTTCTGCTAAATTTTGGGCAGAAATTAATCTTCTTAGAAGTATTAAAACTCTAAAATATAATATTGATGTATATGCTTGTGGAATTGGAGAGCTGCTTAGTAAGAACAGTAAGAGTTGGTTAAGTTTAGGTTATGTACTTGAATCTATTAAAGTTCAAGTTTCTCCATTACCTGAGTGTGGAAATGGATTATTTCACTTAAAAGAAGCTTCAAAGCCAACACAATTGAATAATGATGTCGAACATACAGTAGGTGATGAAAATAATTATGGTGGAGCAGTTGAAATATCACCTACTCCGAAAGCTACGGCTTCATATGTACGTAAAAAGAATAATACTACTAAATACTCAAAACATAAATGGGAATTTAAATATATTTATAGTAAAGGAGAGTCTTGGTCACATAAACGTAACAATAAACTTAAAATAGATGAAGAAGCTTATGCTCCTGGAGTTCATTCGGGTGAGTGGTTTGTTCATGAAGGGATGCATGGATTTTGTATTATTATTACTCAAGTATTACGTTATGAGATTATTCGTGGTCAGCGTAAATTCAATTTAATTAGGAAAATTCCATTGCAGCAGTTTCCTCCATTAGCTCACAGCGTTAAAATAACTGTTAATGGTCTTAACGACTTTAATGGCAAATTAGAAAGGCTAAAAAAGGAGTGTTATAATAATACTTCCGGTATCAACTTTACTGTTGGCAGCAATAAAATAGGAAATAAAGCCGAACCAGAGGATTTGGATGAGAAGATGGGAAATATCGAACGTTCATTGACTCAATCTGAAGCAATGTAGCAATCAAATATTGGAAGCATAAGAAAGAAATAATTATATTTTATTATTGATCAATAGTATTTTGTTATTTATTATATTTTTAAATTATATATATATTGGAGTAATGTAAACTATTTTTTTCACATTATTGTAATTAAAACAAAATCTGTTTTCAAGATATCACTTGAACATCATTTTGCAAATTTTTTTTAATTTTATAAAAGAGTAGATTATGTAATGTAATCGTTGATGCAGTGCTTGCAATAAATGCTCTTTCGTAAAAAACAAAAAAAAAACGGATATAAGTTTGTTTATTTTATAAAAAATTCAAACCCATCTCAAAATTATCTTTACCTAATGATAAGATTATTACATTTAATTCTGCTGCTTGAACTAATTAAATTGAATATATAATAATGTTAATATAAAAAAGTTATAAAATAATGTTCAATATTGAAAATATTTACCCATAGGATAATTCCAATTCCACCAAGTAAGTGGACATATTGTCATTGTAAGCTAAATGAAGGAAAAAAAACCCCATTTTTAGATATGAACAATCGAATAAGACTTACTTCTTCGAATACGAACCCCAAAGGTAGATATAGAAAATAACTTCAAGATTCTAATTAATCAAAAATTTGGACTTTCAAATATAAGTTGTTTAGTTTCTACATTATTTGAATTATTTGTTATATTTCGTATATTTGTCGAAAAAAAAGTTTTTTGAGGATAAATACAAGTTCTTGGAATTCTTGAAATTTTGTACAAGTTTCGTAATGATTCATTTACACGAAAAGAATTAACACGAAAAGAATTACAACGGTATAAATTAAAATTAATTCGATTAAATGAAATTATAGATGTTTTCATATTTTAAAATTCGAGAAAAAAAAAAAAGATTTTATATTTTTTTTTGATCGATAAATAAAATCTATGCATTGATGCTAGTGCTTCGATCTGGATGGGTTTATAACGGATCAATCCGCAGTTTACAACGGTTTGGCATGAATTGGAGCTATTAGTTTGGCCAAAATTAATAAATTTATAGAAGAATAATTTTTTAAAATCTGACAAAAATTATAGTTGACAAAAATAATAGAAAAATGTTGTGACGCTAATTAACGGATCAATCTGAATCGAAGCCCTAATTGATGCATTTACATATGCGTTATCATTTCTAAAATTCACATGATTTGAGCAACATAATTTCAGTAACATAACTAACATCCGGCCAAAATCAAGAAATTAAGAAATTCCAGTAAAATTTGCAGATTATGTCATGTGATAAAAAAAAAACTAGGACAAGTCAATTTCATATAAAATTACATAATTTATAAATAAAAGCATATTTTTTTTTTTTTGGAGATTTCTTTAATAATCTAAATGATCTAGAAATTTCATATAATTTAATAAATGCTCATTTATCACTCATATCACAAGAATTACTTTAATAGAATATTTGAAATACCAACAAATAAACCTGAATATTAGAATGAATAAATAAATGACGCACTTCAATTTGCTTTATTAATAATGTTAAGATTGATTTGAGGATCCCAATCTAAAGCACCTGGATCCTCACTAATATCATCAGGTAATCCATTATAATCATCATAATCTGCTTATTGTACAATATGTTTCTGTGATTTTGGTTGAATAGGTTGAATCTGTTATCTATAAACTGGTAAGCTATGAACTAGTTGAGCTCATAATTACATTTGAAAATTCTTGGTAAGTTCTTCTGCCTGAGCCTTAAGTAACTCTTATAGCTAGCTATTCTTGAATAACTCCAGATGACTTTGATATCAATATAACAGGTTTCTGTTTTCCTACAGTCCTGGTCATAAGTATCTGTATGCTAATATTTTCCGAAGTCATGTGATAATCTACCTTAAAAATTTCCAGGATTGAAAATCAATACTAATCTTAATCACATACAAAATTAGAGGTCCGTACAATATATAAATCAAAGTTAGATGATCGGGCAAATTTTGTTTTATAAAAAATTTATCACCTTTTACATGAATATTTTCATTCCTTCATTATTTCATGTCCTAACCTTTTAGTATATATATATTTTTTGATATATTAATAATTTTTAAGTGTCATTACACATTTTTCTAGAATTTTTATCAGATTAGATACATAGCCAGAGAATTTCAATTATACCATAATCTCCCTTTTATTTTTCCACAATTTTTGAATGGTATTAATTTTATGAAGTATTTATTCTAAGTTTTTTTTGTCAAAAATCTCATATGAATAAGCAATGAGATCCCTTTTATAGATACTATGCATAAAATGGGTATTAAGGTTCTGCTGAAAGCAAATTGGTTTGCTAAATTCCAAAGCAAAAAAATGATCATAAAAATGGATTTTTTGCAAATAACATGATTTTTTTTATTATTTAAGTCTTTATTTTAATGGTATTTTTGGCTCAATAAGTGGCCATAATTTTAATTATAATAAATATAAGTAACTATTTTTTCAAAATTTTACTTTAGTTCAATTAAATATTTACGCACAAAAATTTATTTTGGATAATTTATTAGGAAAGATCAACATTTTGCAGCTAAAATTCATCGATCATCTAACTTTTGATTTTGGTTAAAAAATTCTCAAAATAATCTCCCCAAATGAATCCTTAGAAAATTCTCTATCAAAAAATGCCCTAAATGATCCTTTTAATTAAAAAATTCTCGAAAAACTATTTCCCAAACGAACTCTTAGAAAATTCTCTATCAAAATGTTCCTTTAGTTAAAAAATTCTCAAAAATAATCTCTCCAAACGAATCATTAGAAAATTCTCTATCAAAAAATACCCTAAACGATCTCCTTAATTAAAAAATTCAAAAAATAATTTCCCTAAACGAACTCTTAGAAAATTCTCAATCAAAAAATGCCCTAAATGATCCTTTTAGTTAAAAAATTCTTGAAAAACCATTTCCC